AATACCTCTTTGGTATGGTAAGATCTCTAGTGAACAAGCCTTTCAGCCGATATGCAAGCCCAACTACTGTCGGTCTGGAACAACCAATGGAAATCAATGAACTCTTAGAATATAATATTCGGTGATCTGTCTATCAATGACGTATTGTGCACCACTGGTTTTGAGGATTTTAATTAAATTTTTCATGGTTGTAGGCTTTCTTATCTTTTTGGAACTTGTGATAAAGAAGAAACTGGTAGATGATTAGTATTCCTTGATTCTTAGTGATTGTATGTAACTGAAGTTATTTCCAACTCCATATTCAATTACTTCTTAACACATAAAAGCGGTGCTCTCGAACCATACAATGCAAATGTCATTCTTGTTTTCTCTTGAGACTACACCCAACACTGTACATATCTCTAAATAAATCCATATCTTTAGAAAGCGAAACGTGTTTGATAGGAAACTGGGAGACGTACAATAATTCATTATTGGAATCTGTTTAAATGTCAGTGATAAAACCATTTTTTTCGAGTTTTAAATATCAAAATGGCAAATCAGCATGAAGTTATGAGATGATCATCAATACTCGTCAACAGAAATTAATATTCGTACCGAATGCAAATCTATTCAGGAAGGAAGAATGAGTGCATTCCCTTCGATACATCAGTAAATTTATAACATTCTAGTTTACTCAACAAGGATTTTAAAAACATTTTTTAACTACTTGTGAGTAGCATAGGATGCTAACAAAAAGATGTTTCCGTTAGTTTAATGAAAAATGTAAACGATGTAACGAATTTAGTAGGTTATACAATGTTTGAACACTGATGCATGCATATTACCGATCACATTTTATCCCTTTCTGGTTTTAATTCAGTGTACAGTGTCATCCTTTTGTGTGAACAGCAGCAAAAATATTGTCGTCTTAAAATGAGCACCCATGATTGCGATTAACAAAACCATCTTTTTCATTTCTGATGTATAGTTTAGTGGCCATCTGTTTCAATGATGCGTCGTCCTATGATCAAAACGGACTTTAGCGTAGCTAAAATTAATAATAACCTGTAGGTAATTCAAACAACTCAGTGGAAAACTTGGTTTACTTCTACTGGTTTTTTACTTCACACAATAATTTTTAGAACATTAACTGGGCGAAACTTCATTATCTCACTACCAACTGCAGTCTATTTCTCTCCTTCACCTCTATCCAATCATTCCAATATAGATTTGCTTTAATGTAGAGAGAAAAAGAGATTAAAAATTCAAATGAGGTGCATACAAAATAGGCATTTTGTAATGAGAAACGTCCTTATAGATTCCTATGGAGACCGTGATCTTCAGATCAGATGATTTGATCTGCTTGACACTACAATTTGTGCCAAAACTCAAAGCGCGAAGCTGCATGTAACACAATAGCGACATGAGTAGTTCTAGGCAACTCATACTGTTCAACGGTGATCGCTAGCCAGGTCAAGATGATATAAACACAGGAGGACCGCTTTGCTAATTTGGGTGCTAGCTAATCAATGCCGTGCTCGGACTGGTTCATCTCGGTCAGCCGACTTGTTCTAACTAACTGAATTTCGCCTAGCTACTTGAGTGACCTAGTCATGTCTAAAATCAAATGAGGTAAAGGCTTATGAACAGGTACTGATGTTTTCTCTTCGAAAATATTCTTCAATAAATATTCTTAATGAACAGATTCTTGTGGTAAGTAAATTACTAGTTGAATCAAACGGGAAGAGTATTTAATAACATTTTTACCCGAAAGCCGAAGTTATGAAGGTATTAATGGGTTCTGCCCTTCCATTATTGTTTGAATTTGATATCCGTTATTAAAAATACTTTGAATGTCAGAGCAGTCAGCAAGTATTTTCAGCGGTTCGCTTTCAAGAATAAGCACATAATAAAATAAATAACTAGTGTGATAAATATATACATTCAACTTTGAACATTGGGTGATTTATTGGTTTTTGAGAAGAAAGTGTCAAACATGAAATATAAGGACCCGTTACATCTGCAAAATAAAAGCTACAAAGTTGAAAACGTGAATCATAAAAATGCCACCTTTTTAGGTCCATATGGTTTCTTCAGTAAGATAGTGTAATATGCGTTGCGTTCAATAGAAGGTTGAATAGGCATTGAAATCCTTAAGTTCCACAGTATTTTCTTGGTGTAGATGCTCAACAGATAAATCTTTATATGCCACAACTTCAGCCAGTGTAAGTATCACAACAAAATCTAATACTATACACTGTGTTCATGAGTAAAGATATCGAAAAGCTAAGGAAACTAATTACATATTCGATCTTTAATCAACAGTTAGAAAGGAAGTGGTATACTTTAGGTTGTTGAAAAAGAATAAAAAGTTCAAACAAGAAATCTTTTTCGATGCTCCATACGCATATCTTCTTGCAATCATAATCTTGCTCACTATAATCTATGATGTTCGACGGTTTCAGGTAGTATTTTGTTAAGTACAGTACAAAAGAAAGGAAAGCACACTAACAGAATGAAAGTAATACTGGTTTACAAGGAAGCATAACTTGGATTTTTCATACAGACAGCGATAACCTAGGAGGTGCGAAGTGAATTGGTAAATTTTGTTCATTTATTAAGCGGTTACAGTGATGCTTAGAATGCAATATTGTAATAACTGTTGCCGAAATGCTTGATGATGTCAACTCTGAGGAATTGATTGATCCATCTTCACTGTCAGATGCGTCACTGTCCTTAAATCCTTTCCTCAAGAACGTAGGTAGAACAGTTGACATATCTGGGTACATAGACGCGGGTACATTGATGTAAACATAAAAAGTATAAGAAACTCAAGCATATTCTTCAGGTTAGTGAAAAACGTACGTTTATCTACCACAGCTGTTGGTTCTTCAAATTCGGTGAGCAACATAGATGATGAAGGTTCTGTTTGAGTTTATCCCAATACAAATGTTAACAAATGATGACTTTATGTATACAGATCTCTTGACTTTTACACCACATCTTCTAGTGAATTCTACATTTTATAATGGGATTCCATATTCATTGTTTACTTCAACTGCCAATTTGATTGAAGTGATGAGAATTTGAAACAATTAGTCCCTTTTATGAATTTGGATAATGTAATTAGAAGACGTAGATTATCTGAAAAATGTGATGTATTAGCGCTATACATTTCGAACAATCTGATCACACATTTACTTGTTAAGGCAATTTATATATGAAAACTGGAAGTGGGGGAAGGACACATATGACATAAAGGAATTCAATAATAAGAAAGATAATGAGAGGAATAAAAGATAAGACTTGAAGACAATCTTGGTAATACGATAAAATAAGCATTACCAAGGTAGGCTTAATGTAAGGACAAACTGTTTTTGCACACACAATGGGGGGTTAAATTTATTTATGGCTAGCGCCTCAACAAACTTAAGTATACGCCCCTGACAGTTTCGGTACAAAATTGTAAAGGCTGTCTTGATATCAATTCTGTGACTCTTATCAATGATATGTTTCGCAATGGATGATGATGGTTGTCTGCCATCTGCGCTTATCAGTGTTTGTGAATCCAGCTGCTTTCGTAGCCACTTTGGAACATGTTCCCCTATCCTCAAGTGCAAATCACGATTCGTCCTCCCTATGTATGTTTGTCCACACACACATGTAAATTTATAAACGCAATGGGATGTGACACAATCGTTTATACAGCGTTGAGGTCTAGGTCTACGTCTTCTAATTACATTATCTGAAGTGATGAGGTTAGCAAGTATTTGAAGAAACGACGACAAATGACAAACACCATAAAAATGTATATGGTTGTTGTCTGAGAAATAATTGTACACAAGTAAGTGTCTTACCGATTATTGATGTAAATTTGTCATTTCTCAGTCTAGATATGAAGAAGACTGTTGGCAGAGGATGAAATGGGGGTCCAGTGGAAATCTTACCTTTCTGTCTGTGAATCACTTTGTTAGGTTAACATTGTACGATAAAGTGCTTATTAGATATCTTCAGCAGTAGACATGAACGACAAACATCATTGGTCACTCGTTTTGAAAACAATTACACCGAATGGAGTTTAGTCTTCTTCCGTTCGGTCATAAGCACTTTCTGAATCACTAGTTTACACAATGCATTGAACAAGTTAACTTCAATTTGTCAATTATATGTTCACAAATACCAATCAAAATTCAAATTTGCTTTCAATGTGTACTTCTATAAGGATATACAAGTCTGTGTGTCCTAAACTAGCGTATTCGTTATGTATGTGTGTGCAAGCTTGTTTTTATATGCAAAAGTGTCTGTGACGAATTATGCTATGAAAACACTAGTTTCCAGTTCAATGGTGCACAAAAGTATAGAGATTCTCTCACCATCTCTAAACTTGTCAGGGATTTACGAGTGTCTATTTATTATCCTCTTTTAATTTTTCAGTTTTACGTACACGTGACAATTGAAAATAGTGATTAGGTTCACTATAGACCATATATATATGCACACATAATGCCTATATTTACAATTCTTTTGAGAAAAATTATTTTTCTAAAAGTTTCATTTTTATTGGATTATTTGGATTAACTTATCCTTGGATTTTTAGATAAAGTGATCACTGTAGATTGCTTGATCGACTAGTCGTTACCTCGAAGATTATTGGAAATCATCATGTTTGAAGAATAATATCTAAAAGCGGCATGCACTCAATTAGATCATATAAATGAAACAATAAGATTTCGTTAACATATCCTCTTCGTTGACAATATTAAATGGCAATGTGAGACGTATGACATGCCATCCCTTTTATCTACATGAGAATGTGATATATGTATAGTCATGATGTTTGTATAACTTTGACACTTCAAATATTTTTAAATAGTAGAAAAAGTCGTTTTACATTTTGGAAGTTAAGAAAATGTGAAGAAGAAAAATAGGAAAGAAGATGACTATAATTATGTAATGATACGAGACTGAAATGTAATGTGTATGCTCTCAAAAACTATACAAATCATTTTTGTCTATCTATGGAAGTCGAAAAATCCAGTTTGACAAGATCTTCAACTTCAAACCGAGCAAAAGTAGCACACGATCAGTTGCATGGTGTAACACATAAAATGTCACCGCATGCAATTAATAGATCAGATAACACGAAGTATGAACAAAATCCTATGAATAAAGTAGACTCTCCAACTGCCCATTTTAATACTCGATTATTCAATGCACGCAAACAATTCTCTAAGCCGTCTGTGCCTATTATTTCATTTGACGATCAGATTTCACCTACAACTAGTCCTCAGTCGTCACGATCAACCTACAGTCGTAATGTAATGTATAAAACAGATTCGATGGAGTCTAAAACATCTGTCCCTGTATCTCCAACCGAATTAAGTTACACATCAAATTTTGAAAAGAATTTATCATACATCACTACAACTATGCGGGCTTTATCAACTTCTCCGCGTAAAGGCTCACCAAATGCTTTAATACCTCCATATAATAAAACTTTGCTTCCTTTAGCCTTTTCATTTGACGCTATAAATCCAGAATATCCTGGAGATAAAGCAAATATACTTCCCCAGACTAATAAAGGTGTCAGTGATAAAATCTCACACGAAACGCATAATGCTAACAGAAGTAATAAAAAAGGTTCGTTGAGTCCTAAGCCTTATCTTCTCAAAAGTTCTCATGTAACAGGGAAAATCTATATGCCGAATACACTATCAGCGGTAACACCGATGGCATTAGCAGCATCAGGTGATGATGTAATGCTAAGTTTAGTGCATCAGAGGTCGACAGAGTCACATGATTCCTCGATAAGTATGCCTAGTGCAACTAGTTCCGGAGGTAGTCCGTACACATCAAGTGCATCACATTTACTCAAATCGATTAGAAAAGAAGATAAGTTATATCGAAGTACAGATGTTAATTTTAATATGGATGAACAGAGAATGCCAAATCCTGAACAACACATTATAAGACGTTCAAGCTACGAAGTAAGTCATTGTGTTAATAAAATATTTCTACTGTTAATTACAAAGGTATCAGACAGTATAATTTCTATCATTTGACCATTTATTTAAACGATAATAAATTAACAAACATTTATAGTAGTGATAATTGTGCTTCACTTCCAACCAGTAAATTAAAGATCGGCCATTCCTCACCTTGGTGGCCAAAGTCTTTGGCATAAATTATTATTCCTTTTGATTTCACTCAGTCCTTTGATCTTACATCATGTCTTATGTTGAATGAATCAATCTTATGAGATTTTGTTTCTGAAAATCTTGACTGCTCCCTTATGGTTCATGATTTTTCATACACAGCAATAAACAACTAAATAATAATGCTAGAAGATTTGATTTTCCGGAAATTTGACGAAGAGAACGAAGGAAGCTATATCATCCTATCCTTTCAAAAAGTCTCCCTTTGACGTTACACCTGGATATATTTTTATTTGAAAATATAGAACTAAAAGTCATTTAACGACTGTAACGACACAAATTATATTGTCCTAGAGTATCCTGAGTGTTACAGTTATGGCAGGATATCAGATGGATCATCAGATGTCATTGTTTTCCTGAATTATTCGGGATGGCGTCGTACCACAACCTGATTTACAATCCCAAAAGTGGTTATAATTAGCAGCAGCTAGGAGTCATGCATTGAAAAGAAATCGATATTACGCTTTTCAACTGATATAAGTTAGTCTATATATGCTAAATCTTTTGATGTAGGTAAATGTCACAACGTGTAAGATTTGTTTTGCTGAGATGGCCGTGATTCGGCAGACTTGCATCATTGAAACAGGTCAGTGATTGAGGCTAAAATGAAGAACTGGGTTGTGACAGCGTTTAAACTATCAGGTTTCAGCCCTACCAATTAAACTGTGAGATCCAACTAAAAACCACCCCTAGCTTCACGTGTTCAGCAGCTGAGTATCTTATCACAACTGATGGAGTGCTGTTTAGGTTGTTCACATGCTACTGATTTGAATTATTCTGCGATTTTGGTTTTCATTTTAACTTCAATCCCCACTTCGTATGTATAAGATATTTTCGCAGTTATTTCATTATCCACTTTCTTTGAGGACATGTCAATCACCGTGATTAGCGTATTTTTGAGAGCCATCCCTGTTGACTCCTTCAAGATAAAGTACAATTCAATTTAATTATCCTCTTTTATGACCTACAAAAATTTACAACCATTTGCCAGTGAATTCAACACAGTATAACACAAGAATATGCACTGACTCTCCTGAGACTCTGATGACTAATTGGCAAGCCTACTGAACTGAACTTCTATTAATCTAATGGCAGCAGAAATTCTTGGTGTCTACCGGATTTCTATTACTGAAATGCTACTGGAATACAGTTGGGATAATGATTTCGCCAAATAAAATTGCAGTTTTCGTTTTTCCTCTTATTACAATAGCAGGCTAAAAGTTAAATATATTGAACATTCAAATCTATAGGGCGTACTACTAAGTAACTTAACACAGGTGTTGCCCGAATATTTCTCTCCATCGTCTGGAAAAAGACAGATAAAATCTCATCTAGTTGTTAGTAATCGCTTATTAGATAACAGCATTACTTTCAAGATTATCTACCACATACCGCTCAATCTTTCGAAAAGTATTCCAGTGCGTCTTTTACATTCAAGCTAATCATCATTGCCTTTGTATGCAGAAGAAGTTCATTCATCCTGTCTCTCTTTTGGTCAGGAAATACTAAGTAAACAGCTTTATCATAGGAATTTTTTATCTGTTCCTTATTCCTCACTTCTTTACTATATTTATTCAGACTTTTTTTACCTACTTATTTGATCCCTTAGTATAGCGCAACTGTTATTTATCCAAGTTTTTGACGCACTTTGATTATCGAAGTGTCTACATTGTCATTCTAGTCTATTTACCTAGAATTAACATAGACATATTATATTTGTTTGAATTCCGCTAAATCCAGTTGTTATTCACATTTTAAGTAGTTATTGAATGTTCAGTGTCTAAAGGTTTTTAATAAATGTGATTGATTCTTTCACTAGTAGTGTAGTTGTAGAAGCTCTGTGGACAGAAATTATTTTCTGATGGTTAACAGTTTGAATGAGATTCAGATTTGCCACTGGTTTTACACTAGCGTAGGACAATTGGTGAATAAAATGAATACATAGTCCTGTTTTATTATAATACCGGTTAATTTCGGAAAGATCTCGATTATTTCAAACTGGTAATTGATGAAATCCATGGAATATGATATAAACTGACCACTTTATTGAACTTCACTGTAAATTAGGGAATTCTTTGAGTGGATGGAAATTGTCAGCGGAATATTCTCGGGATTCAAGATTGCAAGTCATTGAATTCTTTTAATTTTGGGAATATTTAGCATAGTGAAAGTCATATTGATGATGACTGAATAGATTCAGAAAATTTCAAATAAAGGCCAGTCCCAAGTAAACTAATTTGCTAATCTAAAGATCCTCATGGATAATTCGGAACAAAGCAGGTTACCATTTATTCCTTGTTCAATGTGTACTCATGACTTTAACTGTCCCTTTGGAGTTAGTTATATAAATCGTACTCAGAGGGCCATATTCACGCGCACTCGTAAAAATATACCCCCTAAGTTAGCGAGAGAATTGTCAGAATGCATAAATAATGCAATTTTTTCACATTCAGTAAATAATGGACATCAAATTGCATTAGATCTGGACGTTTTCATGAAATAAAGTGGCACTTACAATTAGTACAAAAAGGGAACGACTACTTTTTACTCTCTTCAACTAATACGGTAGCTTTCAACACTAGAAAACCTCATCTACCTACTCAGAAAAAGGTCCACAATAGGATCGACACGCCTTTTGTGATTTCAAGGGGGTTTTCTTTCAGGAGAACAAATGGAAACCTGAGACACTGATTAACTGGTTCTTACTAGTGTGCGGCTTCCTTAGAAGTGTACAGCAGCAACCACGCCACCACTCCTCACACGCAACTTGGTCTGCATCCAAGGTCATGAAGTATTACTAGAACCCTGAGCAGTTCATTTAGAAGAATGCCACCAGTGTGTGCTGAGAATTGATGGATTTCAGGGTGGTTTTCATCGTAGATTGATAACATTCGGAGTAGAATTGAAAGTATAAGAGCACTGATCATCTGTTTCCTTCCAGTATGGGACTCTCCAGCAGTACATGTCATTAGTTTCACATTTTAACGTTACATCCCGTTCGTTTATATTGTCTTCCTTATTTCATTGATAAACATTCATTTCTATATGCTACTGATTTTACGCCCCAGTTTATTCACACAGTTACCGGTAGTCATTTTTAACTCTTACGCAATGCCTCGCATTTGTTATTTTCAAATGACTTTACCCTCTGCTTGTATTAAATTCATCGTTACATAACGATAACTTTACCTTTATTAAACAAACACACATATATTCATACCCCAGTTACTTTTTTGAAAAATGGATCATTATCTTTAGATTTCTCCTCTCTAAGAGATTATGGATGTTCACTTTGTGGGTTTCTGGGAATTTATTGATTTCAACTTGGTATTCATCATAGACCGACAACTGTTGGAGAAGTACTGGATGCCTTAAAGCACTAGACAGCTGTTCCGTTCCAGTATGGGACTCGACAGCACGCAACAATGACCCCACCGAGGATCGAACTCAGGCCCTCCATGTTCCGCTGCAAGCACGTTATCATTAAGTTGCTGCATTGGGATATTGTGGTCGCGACCATCACCCAATGTCAGTGTTGAGTATTTGTACTCACGTCCATGGTTTTTACCCTACCGGTCACAATTTGTCATTGGAACTTCAGGAGTCACCTCCCGAAGTCAGTCACCAATGAGCGCTAGATTAATTCAATTTGAGGAACTGTGAGGATTTATTGATTTCAAACTGCTATTCATTATGGACTGATGTCAGTTGGAGAAACATTTTAAACCTGGAAGCACTGGACAGCTTTTTCCTTCTAGTATGAGACTCCTCAGCAGTGCGCACCCATGACCCTGCCATGGATATTTCGTTCATATTGATTTCACTGCACAACTAACACTAGACAAATCACTACCCCATATGAGAAAGATTGTTTTTTCATTAGTATCGAACACTCTATAAGATATTTGGTAATTCAGCATCACGAACTGCTCTCTCATTTCTATTACGTAACTGCTCGTCCAAAAATGAATTTTGATCGGGCTTTTTCTTGTTTTACGGTTAACAGCGTGAACATCATTTCTGGGTTATAACAGTCATTTAGGTAACAAGCATTCTATTCTGCCATTTTCCCTTTGAATAGTAGTCAGTGTTATGAAAGAGACTGAATCATTATTCAAAGGTTTCCAAATCATCATCTTTCAATCATATTGTTAACCTGCAGTTGGGGATTAGTTACACTTTCCAAAATTCTAAGCTATAGTTTACATTGAATTTAACTTAAAATTAAACAATATACCAATCGATTAATTTTCCACCTGTTCTCCATTTCATTTTGTTTCAGTTAACTGTAAGTACAAAAGGAAAGAAGAAACAAAACTTTGAAAGTTATATGTAAACACATGTACATTTAGGTCTGGCTGACTTGAATCTGCATCTTAGATTTAATTAGTAATATATTTCAGATTTTAATATACAAAATAATTGAAAGTATTAATTGCGTTAAATAGTATTTCCTTTTAGTAAAATGTTTTACGTAATTTAGTTGATCAGAAGATAACCAACTGAGGGTAGCAGTGTCTACTGGGACTGGGCATAAACGTTCTTGTAATACATGGTGAATACTTTATTAGTCACTTGAGACCAGGCTTGATTTCGTTTCTTGAAGATTTTGGAACAACTAGGGTGCATAGTCATACAACTGCAAGAGATGTAACTCGAAATCGGTCTCCGTGTCTTGGTTGTATTGCATTCTCTGAGTTGAATGGTTTCATCGTGAAGCTTTCATTGTCACTCTAGGTAACATCATCGGTTCTAAATCCAGTTTGAAAAGT